ATAATAAATAATAATAAATAAATAAAAAATAATAATAACTGTTAATATCTGCTAACAATGACCACTAAATCCCTATTAAAAGTTACAAAATAACTTTTAAAAGAGTCCAGCGACTGCAAAATACTTACAGAGACTTATAAAAGAGTTAATACCCACTAACAAGTTGGACGCACGACCTGTTAAAGAGTCCAATGACCACTAAAATACTTATAAAGACTTAGAAAAGAGTTAATAACATCCAACAAGTTACGCCCCGCCTAAGAGTCCAATGACCATTAAATACTTATAAAGACTTAGCAAACAGTCAACAACAATCAAAAACTCGGACGCGCGTTAAAAAAAAAGAGTCCAATGACCGCCAAAGACTTAACAGAAGACTTATAAAAAGAGCTAATAACTGTTAAAAAGTTTTGGGACGACCCGACGCGATCCCTCAGTCTCGTCTTTCAGAGGAGTCATCAAATAAGGATCAGTCAATGTCAGTGTGGAGTTGGAACTGACAGACGTAAGGTAAATGAGGAAGAAGGAGGAGGAGGAGGGGGAAACAGGGGGGGAGAGGGAGAATGAAGAGGAGGTGGGGGGAAACAGGGGAGGAAGAGGAGGGGAAAACAGGGGGGGAGAGGAGAAATGAAGAGGAGGTGGAGGGGAAACAGGGGGAGAGGGGGGAAGGAGGAGGAGGAGGAGGGAAAACAGGGGGGGAGAGGAGAATGAAGAGGAGGTGGAGGGGAAAACAGGGAGGAGGGGGAGAAGGAGGAGGAGGAGGAGAGGAGAGGGAGGAGAGAAGAAGGAGGAGGAGGAGGGGAAGAAGGAGGAGGAGGAGGAGGAGGAGGGAAACAGGGAGGAGAGGGAAGAAGGAGGAGGAGGGAGGGAGGAGAAACAGGGAGGAGAGGGAGAAGAAGGAGGAGGTGGAGGAAGGGAAACAGGGAGGAGAGGGAGAAGGAGGGAGGTGGAGGGAAACAGAGAGGAGGACAGGGGGGGCGTGGGAGAAGAGGGAAAAACAAGGAGGGGGGAGGAGAAGAGGGAAATAGGAAGGAGGGGAGATAGGGAGAAGAGGAAATAGGAAGGAGGGGAGATAGGGAGAAAGGAAATAGGAAGGAGGGAGATAGGGAGGAGGGGGTAGAGGGAAAGGGGAGGAAGAAGAGGGGAAACATGGAGGGGAGGTGGAGGGGAAACAGGGAGGAGGGGGAGAGAAGAGAGAGAATTAGGAGGGGAAAGACATGGGAAGGAGGAGGAGAGAGAGGAAAGAGGGGCAGAGGAAAAGAAGAAGGAAGTGGAGGAGGAGTTAGGAGGAGACAGAGGAAAAGAGGAAAAGACATGAAACAAAAGATATAAAACAAGAAAAACACAACGAAGACAAACACACACATACACACAAACACACACAAAACCAGAATACCAACCCAAAACACCACCTCTTTGCCTTACTTCCTTCTCTCCTTCCTTCCCCACCTCCCTCTCCCCCCACCACTCCCCACCTCCCCTCAAGGACCTCCCATACACACACACACACACGCACACAAAAAGAACACGCAAAAAGGCCAAGCTACCTGACCCGCCTCTTGCAAAAACCTCCACTCTCCCTATTGAAAGACCTCCGAGGCGATTGAAAAGCTTTCTGATATGCACGACGCCCCTGCTCCGTCTCTCTCTCTCAGACGGGAGGTGGGCGGGTAGGGAGGAGGGTGGGGAGGGAGGGAGGTGGCGGTAGGGAAGGAGGGAGGGTAGGGAGGAAGGAGGGTAGGGAGGGAAGGAGGGAGGTGGGTAGGAGGGAGGGGGGTGGTGGATGGGTAGGGAAGGGACGGAGGGTGGTAGGTAGGTGGGTAGGGAGGAAGGGAGGGAGGGAAGGAGGGAGGTGGGAGGGTGGTGTGGTGGGGGGGAGGGAAGGAGGGAAGGGGAAGGGAGAGAGGATAGGAAGATAGGGAGTTAGGAGGTAGTAGGTAGGAGGTAAGGGGGTAGGTAGGTAGGTGGATGAGGAGTGGGGATGTTATATATCTCTATCTATATCTATGCCAATATCTACATTTATATTTGCATCTACATCTACCTCTGTATCCATACCTCGAAAAATGCGGGGGTGGGTGGTATTACATATATCCACATTACTCTGTATTCACATATCTATAAGTTGTGTATCCATATCTATATCCATCTGTCTATACATAAGTGTCTATTCACAAATCTATAAGTTTGTGTATCTATATCATATCCATCTGTCTATAACCATATGTATATATCTATGGTTACAGTATATCTATATCTGTCCTGATATTTATAGTCACAGTTATATAGCTTTATTGATATGTCTGGCTGTATTTATATCTATATCAATACCTCTTCCTCCCTCCCCCTTCCCCCATACCTCCCTCTCCCTCTCCCTCCCTCCCCATAGCTCCCTCTCGCTCCCTCCCCTTACCCCATACCTCCCTCTTCTCTTTCCTCCCTCTCCCCTTCTTCCATACCTTCCCTTCTCCCTTCCCTCTACCTCCCTCTCCCCTCCCCCATACCTCCCTCTTCCCTCCCCCCTTCCCCATACCTCCCTCTCCCCTTCCCCTCATACCTCCCTCTCTCCTCCCTCACCCTCCCTCCCCTTCCCCTCACCTCCTCACTGACCTTCCTTCCCAGTTCCTCTTCCTCGCCACCAGAACCTGGAGGACAACGCGACACCAAAACCTCTCCTCTCTCAGCCAGCCAACAACTCACCTGCAAGGAAAAAAAAAGGGGAAAAAATTAATAAAAAATGAAAAAAAGGGGAAAAAATAATAAAAAAATGAAAAAAAGGGGGGGAAATTAATAAAAAAAAGAAAAAAAGGGGAAAAAATAATAAAAATGAACATCCTGGACCTTGTCTTACGATGTTCGACAACAACTTAATTAAGGAGAGATTACGTATATATATATTTTTTTTTTCTAAGTTCTCGTTTTCATTTTGGAGGTTGCCTATCGTCAGGGTGAAAGGAGAAACCAAAAGGCAAGGAAATTAGGAAGACGAAGAAATCGATGATAAAGTTAGGAAGGAAGAAGAAAACGATGATAAAGTTAGGAAGGAAGAAGAAAACGATGATAAAGTTAAAAAGGAAGAAGAAAACGATGATAAAGAAGAAACAAAAATAGAAGAAAAAGAAGAAAAAAATAAAGACTACAACCTCAAAAAGATAAAATAAACAACATCAACCCAAAACAACCTTATTCCCACCCATCCGCAAGGCCCATAATCCCCTGCGCCCCCACAGGCCAATGCCGCCCATCAAAACGCAATGTCTAAAGGACTCGCCATGTCTTGGACGCCCAGGCCCCACCCACCACGGGCGGAGGCACTGCGGGCGTCATCTTTCGGGTGGGGGCGGCGCGGGGGGCGGGATTTGGAAGGCACTCTGAAGAAAACTAGGTTTGCACGGAGAGCTGTTTTTTTTTCTCTCTCTCTTTTTTTCTTCCTCTTGACTTTTATTTATCTTTTTTTTTTTCTCGACCCGTCCGTACCCCCTTTCTATTTGTCTTCTTCGTATTCTCCTTCTCCAAAACCCCCTTCCTCTCCTCTCCTCTTCTCCTCCTCTTCCTCTTCTTCTCCTCCCCTCCCCTTCCCTTCTTCTTCCTCTTCTCCTCCTCTCTTCTCTCCCTTCCTCTCCTCTAACTTCCACCCCCTCCACCCTCCACCCCAACACTCCCCTCCCCCGCCCTCCACCCCCTCCCTCCTATCTTCGAAATTGGTTATTGAAAAGTTTATGCGCGAGAGCAATGCAAAACGGTCGTTAGGAACATGCCACGCAAAGACACGGCCAATATGAAGAAAAAAAAGGAAAAAGAAAGAAAAAAAAATGTGTATATAGAGTATATATAAGAAATCGATAAATAAGTTTTAATCTTTTTATTTTCTCTTTCCTTTTCTTTGGGCGGGGGGGGAGGAGGGCAAGAAGAGAGGAGGAAAAAACAGGAGGGAGAAGGATGAGAGAACGAATAGGGTGAGGGAAAGGAAGGGAAGAAGGGGTTAGGCGAAGATGGAAAAAGGGAAGAAGGAAAGAGGGAAGAGAAGGGAGAGGGAGGACGAAGGAAATTGGAATGAGGAGGAGGAAAGGTAGAAGGATAAGGAGGACGTGAAAGAAGAAGAGAGGAAGGACATAAGGAAGATGAAAGAAGAGAAGCAGGAGCAAAGAGAGAAAAGCTAAGGTGAAAAAAGGGAGGAGGAGGAGGAGGAGGAAGAAAAAAGGAGGAGAAGGAAAACGAAAAAAAGGAGGGGAAAAGGAAATGGAAAAAGAGAGAGAGATAAAGAAAACATGAAGTGGAAACGGAGAGTATGACGAAGGAAAGGGAGACGAAGAAGGAGAAAGACAAGAAAGAGCGAGAGAAGAGGGAGAGGGGAAGGGAGAGAGGGTGACAACTTGTCTAACAGGAAATTAAACTATCCCTGCAGGACCTTTTTATCTAGGCCTACAGACCACGCCACCGCACGCGAACTTTCGACCTTTTTTGCGCGCGCCACAAGGGTGATTCTCCCCGCCATTCCGACGTGCACACAGCATTTATTTTACGTGCATAACCATTCGCTTGGCAAAGATGCGACCGTCTTTAAATATTTACCGAAACTGGGAGTCTTGCGGAGGGAAGAGGATGACGAAACGCAGAATAATGAAAATAAGTAGAAAGAAAGAAAAAGGAAAAAAAAAACACGTAACATAAATATGGACACTTCGTAAACAGAGATTTTGAAATTAGTAAAAAAAAAAAAAAGAAAAGAAAAAAAAAAAGCAACACATGTAAATATAATTACGAATACGCATAAAAATGTGCATGAAAAACACACACACACACGCACTTACACTTACACACACACACACACACACACACACACACACACACACACACACGCAGACGCATACGACGGCACGCAACCCCACCTACACACACACACAACAACACACACACACACACAACACACACACACGCACACACAACACACACACACTAACATCCCCCCCCCCCACAACACACAACAACAAAAGTAACAA